CTGAATTGACGAAACGTCAACTTTACTACGGTGCGTGTCCCTTGTGGTCGTTAGTCACGTACCGCATGCTACGTGAATAGTGTTTATAAATTTTTATACTGGACTACTGAGGTGCAACTGGTCTATAAATCGTGCGCCGTGGAGTTCAAATTACTAGAATCACCTCCGGTGAGGTTAGTAGAATTTCATGGCCCCAGAGATATTCATTCCATTACAAATCAGTTTATCAGGACCATAATTGAAATCCGCATGGTTTTATATAGTAAGGAAATGGGTAGAGTCATCAACATAAAAAAATTTAATCAACTTGGGTGATTTGTTTAAAGATAGATATAATGGATACCATTCCGTGTAATACGTGATCATAACACAAAGACGGATTAATGGTCTGTTCACAAACAATTTTCATCACAATACTGGAAAGGAATCTTGGTCAGTTAAAACGTGAAAAATCCATACGGCCTCGTGTTCACGAAACCCGATTTCAATAAGCCATATCTTTATATAATATCAGCTTCATGAAGAATTATGACTATTACGCGGATAAAACAATGAAGCATCCTATCCATAAACGTGTTTTTATTTCAGTCCTCAAGAAGCTGGTTTTCTCTATTTTAAAAACGTTCTGTTTCTGAGAAAAATTTTGAAATGGAAGACTAAATGACGGAATTGCACGATATATTTCCGAAATCATTTTACTGTTGCTTAACTGATGCGACTGTGTATTGCTCATTGTACTGACCTAATCCTGACTGATAAGCAAAGTTTGCCATGAAGAGGGGGTAAATAGGTTTCGATCCATAGCACCTGTATTCGAGTTGTGTTGCAACGCAAAACAGGAGGCCACTAACAACGCGCATGCAATAGCTTAATTAAATTGGTTACGTAACATTAGACTTACGTCGTCAACCTTCCGTGGTAGTTTATTATGACCACGAGCTTATCCTCTGACGAAACCTACGCCTATGTGACAGATTTTTCGCACGAACTCAGTAGACAGGATTTCTTTATTGCATTATTTCCTGTTTCCAAATTCAATCTTCCATCAGATGAAGCAGGAAGAAATACATGATAGTTCCACTAACTAGAAACAATTCAGCTTCTAAAATTTAGCCCTCCAGTCCCGAGCAACCAAACATGTACTACATTTTAAAGACGACTACTTTAGAAAATGACCTGTCATCCGTGGGCAATTTAACAGCAAGGTTTCTCAAAAGTTACCGTGCAAAAATCCATAAACACCTGACATTTATAAGGAAGTCATCTTTGAACTAAGTAAGTTAAGAGGGGAAGATTATTGGTAGATTTCTGACCATATATTTAGTATACCTTCTCACTAATTCACACAAGAAAAAACGTTGCTAAAATTGTTTTATTTACTGTTGAGTCCATTATGTATTATGCGTAACCAATACATACTTAGGGGAGTGAGATTTACATTTAGAACAAAAAGGATCCGACGATTTCGGAAGCACAGGGTGTATTAGAAGTTATAACAGTAAAATGTCACACCAATGAAAGTAGCTACTCGTGAAACATTTCCTCAGTTTGTTTATCTAGACCCTATATTATTAATACACAGTCGGTTTCACTTTCTAAAAGACGGTACTCATAAATTATTGCAGTTCAGAAAGTCTATTTTCCTCAACTGATGACCCATATCGATGAGAGTGGTGTCATTCTCTTACATGTATGAAGCTATATAAGAACATTTTCACAAATTCCTGCAGTCATTATTTCCTAAAACTTCGATTTATCTTGCTGGAAGCAGGAATGATTGAACCTTAACTTGACTTTCAGTGATGATCGAATAAAGTGGCAAGTGAGGAAAGTGGATCATTCACGGGTTTATTGTCTGAAAAGTCATAAATTTCACGTAGTCGCCAATTTGTTTCTTTTAATTTCCCTGGCACCACTGAACGTTCAAAACTTCCAAGTTAAGCAATAAAACATTTCGAGAACTTTAGTCGATGGCATTCACTGGAAAATCATTCGCTAATATCACTTGTTTGTTTCTGTGCAGCCACCATTTTGTTCCAATCCAAAAAACAGGGATCAGATAAATTTGGTCCGTTACGCAATTTTGCAGAGCCTGTAAACGCAATGCGGTGGTTCCGGCTTGACTTCTCGCAGACCACGGAGGTTTTGGGGGTATACTTTTACTTCCACTATGATTCCAAGCAAAATTTATTGAAATAATAATTACTGGTTGTCCTTTTTACATTCAATACCAAATTTCATTTTCCAGCAGTTAAATTAACTCAACCTCAAGTGGCAGCAAAGCTCCTGGTTTTCCTGCAGATGACAATTTCTACCACAGAATCTCCCATTGCAGCTCCCGCATTCGTATGTTTCATTAGTAATACAAAGAAGTACAATTTGCTTTATATGTTTCATACTTAAATGCGGGATGATGTACTTTCCTGATTATTCCATACCCAGAATTCACTTTTGATAAATCTCCATACGATTTAACATTTGGCACCGTCTTCCTTGAGATACCAAAGGTAAATTTGCAATACTGTAAATTAGAAAAAACGGGTACGCTGGAGAACACCGGTGGCTTTACCGGTTGAAGCTTCGAATTCAGTTTCAAGATCCGTGGGTTAAAGATTGGAAATGGTTTAGGAAAAATAACGAGAAAGAAACGTGGTTCTTGGCTGCGAATCAAGATCAAATATCAGTGAACTCACTGAAGGAGTTTACCAGCTATTGCTTTCCGGAGCTTTCTTTCGCTAATTTGAATAGTTCCTATGTATCTTGCATGAAATTGGCAGCAGAACCTCGTAATGTTCTTTGATGTCGGTTTTCACGTTACATAACTGTAATAAGGTTGATTGGCATTGAAATTAGCGTATGGACTGCACGTGACCGAGCGGCTGGAGTAAACATGTTGAACATTTCTTATCCGGGTCATATGTTTACTTGTGCGATCCATAACTTTACTAGCGCGATTGTCATCTCACATCGAACCAAACAGTCGCTTTAGGTACCTCGTTGGGTGAGGTGTATTCAGTAGCCGTATAACTACTATGTATCAAAAAACAAGTAATATAGTACAGAAACGCCGGTAATACAAAAATAGTCACGACGGAAAATCACCAACACTACTAAAACAGTAAATAGTCGGCTGAGAATATTCTTGTGTAATCCTTAATGGTCTCATTAATATGCTCATTTCTGTTTACTTCCGAGGGTTTTAGTCTCGAAAAATTCACGAGCTTGTCAGGTTGTGGTTAATCCCGTGATGTCAGATTTTTTCCAATCGATACGATTTCGAGTTGAGTGAACTCTCTTTGTCACGGTTCGTCTCCAATTGGTAGATTAGTGAATCAGAAGTTCTATCAATGTATTTGATAAGTGTTACACAAAAACTGCTGCAGTTTGGAAGCGTTAACCATAGATTATTTTATCATGTTTA